ATACTCATCATGGGAACTTCTTGTGGTCACTAAAATGTATTGTTATCATAATTAGGGTGGCTTTATATAGTCAATGCGAGACTTGCTTATACTTATTACAATGAAATCAATGACACAACTTTTTATAATGACTGTTACGCTTGTCATAGCAGACTTTATTTGATTCCAAAGCTATCAAAGAGCAACAAGACATGTTCCATAAAAGGAAATTGCCTTATATGGTAAAGACCAAAGTGGTAAAGGATCATTTTCTGAGTATGGGAAAATTTGCCCCAGCACTTTTACTTATTTATTTAAGCTTCAACATCCAAATTAATAATTTAAACACAGTGTATAAAGCAAATTTGATGAAAAAATAAAAATGAACCATTGACTCCTCAATGGATCCAGTTTTTATCCTTTATACAAAACATAAGTTGAAGGCAATACAATACACCAGCAGCCAAATTATCCATTGTTTTCAAAGCTAAAGCCAATAGAGTGCAGTGAGTGACTTCAATAGAAGAAAATTACCTATAACTAATTTAAGTAAGCTTGAGACATCTGGTTTTTCAGAAATCAATCTGCCAGTATTTATCCACTCCCCTCAAGTAAAGCAAGTCTTATGAAATAAAAAGATATAATTGTACCCTTAATGAATATAGTATTGAAGAGTCTGCAAATATAATGATTATTATAATAATCACTGTAAACAAGCATGGATTTAGATATTTGCTCCTAGAAACTGGTCAGCTGGCATTGATACACTTGCCTCAAGTGACAATAAAATAACCTGAATAATATTCTAAACCTCAGGAATCGCCTTGCCATGCATAGCATTGGCCCACTTAAACCTAGTTAGTACAAAGGCTGCTTGAAACTGCATTACCAAATGGCAGGGACAACCTGTGCTGGCTGTTGAGCACATGGCCATAAGCAAGGTGAGCAGAATTCTGACCATTGTGCTGTAAGGAATACACAGAGTGGGTGGCATTCACAAAGGCATGAGAGCAGAAAGTAACATGTTGATTGTCTCATCTGCCCTGTGGCGATCAACATGTTTGTTGAACTCCGCTCCAGGATGCCGGAATGCCAAAACTGCAGGCCTTTCTTGAGTTCCTGCACTCTTTTGTGAATAGCTCCTGTTCCTGTGGACGGATTTGCCTCAAACTTGGTATGTACCCTCCTTATTATGTATCTGAAAATATATACACTCACATAAGAGGGGGGAAAAATCTGGGCTTTCTATTTTTCAATTACAATGTTACTAGTGTTCTAATCATTTTAGCTCAACTACTCAGAAAATGCGGTATTGCTACAGGCTTTTAGATGCTATATCTGACTCCAGGCTGGTTATGTGTATTACTTTTTAATGTTACTTTAAAGGGGGAACACTTCATTGAACTGTCATTTCAATTACAAGCTGTATAATGGGTTTAAATGCCCTATTTCAATCAAAACTACTTTTGTGATAGGATTTCCTTGCATGTAGCAATGCAAGTGAAGTAATAATCAACACTAGGAGTTCTTATGATGACCCTACAAGCACTAAGGCAGTGCTTATACTAAGTTAAGCCTTTGTTATACAAGTTTACTACCTACAGCTGCCAAAAATGGATAAATGGCCTTCCTAAAACAGAAATTACCTTATATGGTCGAAATCAAAGTTGTAGTCCATCAACCCAAATGTATGGCAGAATTGGTTTGAAGGCCTATATTTGCATAGTTAAGCCACCAAATGCAAAACAAAATTTGAGTGCAGTGTGTATAAGAGTTATATTATTTAAAATTGTGTGTGCTTTTACCATTAATGGACCAGGTTTTGACTGTAAGTATATAATGTTATTATATTGTATGCTTGTAATGAGATAAGAGCATCATTGTAATAAAAAGCGGCCACATTGGTTATATCAATCATGAATAAAGCAGAATGATCAGATTGAGCCCATATCAGGCAACTGATAAGATGATCTTTTGTTTGGTTGTTTGACCAAGTTGCATCGGCTGGGTTTGAATTC